AGGGTGCACTAGCTGAGGAGGCAGAGACACAGCCATGGCCTCTGAAGTGGCCTGCAGGGATGTGTGTGGTTTTGCAGGTGGAGGAAAGTGTTTGCAAGGTGGAGAGCTTGGGTCGCGGGAGCTGACGTCAGTACAGGGCAGTGGGGGTGCCACGTGAAGCAGGTGTGGCGAGGGGACGACGACCTGTGGTTAGTGCCCGGCCCGGTGTGGCTGTGTCCTGTGTGGCTGCCAGGGCCCGTGCTGTAGCCCAGACAGGAAGTAACATGCACAGCCTCTGTGAGGCCAAGGCTATCACGGTCCCTGGGGGTCCACAGGGAAACCGCCTGGGTGTTGGGAACTATGGGCACAGTCTAGCTGCTTGCAGTCACCTCATGCTCAGTGTGCATTTTTAAAGATCTCTTTCTGGAAATCAGGAAGCCCTGGAAGAAGACAAAGATCCAAACTGTACCCACGGGGCAGTGGGTCACGCACCAGCAGGTGCTCTGATGCCAACTGCAGTCTGCAGCCCGCAGTGCTCCACCCATCTACAAACCACTCTGGCCTCACCTGCGCAAGGGGCATGCTGGAGAGGACCCAGCCACAGTGCCCAGGGCTCTCGGGCGTGCCCACCCACCATCGCAGGGGACAGCATTTTAACAAGGATGGGAGACTCCAGTCACTCACTGATGTCTCTCCATGGAGGAACGTGCACACTCCAGGAACATCTCAGACCTGCTGGCTCCTCACTGGACCTGCATGCGGACACTGTGTGTAGACAGGGTGCACGGCAGACAGCAACATCCCACACCCACTGCAGCGCGTCCTCCAGGACCCCGACGTGGCTCTAGCACCTCCCCTGCTCAGGAGAACAAGGAGCAGGCCCTGGGTTCTGGGCCGTGCAAACCAAGCTGGTCTTAACTCCATCACATGGCTTTGGATTTTATTTTTGCTTTGACTCAATAATTTTTAGGATTCACTTACATTGAAACTACACCGTTGTAATAACACAGAAGAACTCAGTGTGTGCGTGGCAGGGGGATTTAGGGAGGGGGAGAGGAAATCCCAGGGCCTGTGGAACTGTATCATAAAATGATAACTTAAAAATGGAAAAAAGATTCAATTACATTAATTCCTGCATCCACCCAATAACCCACTCACGTATGCATTCATCCACTCATTAACCCATCCAGCCACCCACCCATCCACTTAACTAGCCACACATGAACTCACCCACCCATCTACTTAACTAGCTACACATGAACTCACCCACCCATCCACTTAACTAGCCACACATGAACTCACCCACCCATCCACTTAACTAGCCACACATGAACTCACCCACCCATCCACTTAACTAGCCACACATGAACTCACCCACCCATCCACTCATTGACTGATTCATCTATCCATCCACTTAGGATCCCCTCATTAACTCACCCATCCTTCCACTCAACTATTCACTCATTAACTCACCCATCTGTCTGTCCACTCAACTACCCACCCAATGGCCATTCTACCTTCCACCCCTCCTTGGCTACCAGGGCAGCAGCAGCCCTGTTCCTCAAACATCTTCTCCCTCAGCCGACGTGACTTCTGGTTCCGAGGGGTCACAGGCTTTAGAGTGGACATATGTCACCCGTACGTGTGTGCCTACAACCGATACTGGGTGGGTGCTGCCTTCTAGCTGCACGCTCACGTGGCCTTCCCTAGTCAGTGCATGGGAAAGAGGGAGGCAGGAGGACATGTAGGGGGGTGTAGAGACCTCTGGTGTCTCCTGTTCAGGCATGAATATGATCGTGCAGTCTCCATCCTGTTGGCACCATGTAACCCTAATTATCCTCCAAAGTCCCCCTCAAATACCATCACGTCAGGGTTAGGTCTTCAACACGCGAGGACAGGTACTGAGTGGGTGTGAAGGGGCTCAATCTTGCCATGGGTCACAGCTCATGCAGCAGCTGCTAGCACAGGTGCTCTGCCTCTGGGAGAGCCTCCAACCCGAATGCAGGCTGGGATCCTGGTTGCTGTCACTGGGCCGAGAAACCACACGAGATGCGGGACAGAACCAGCACCATGATGCCCGTGGCCAGCCGGCCACCACACGCCAACTGGCCCAGAAACTGCAGAGCCTGGGGTCATGGAGGAAGCCGGGCAGTGTTTTAGGAGGTGAAGCAGCAGCACAAGAGAGGTTAGTGAGGTGGAAAATGGGAAGAACATTTTGGGAGGAGAGACCCCTTTTCCAGGTACAGTGAGGGGCGGGGTCCTTGAAGACAAGGGAGCCGCCAGGTGGCTATGGGCGCAGCAACCTTGAAGCCAGACCACGTGTTGTGCAGAACAGACAGGACAGGGCGGCCTCTTCCCTCCACAGCAGGATGCAGTCTCACAGGTCCCACGGCACGGGAGTCCAGCAGTGCGCTCCCAGGTCAGGGCTGCCCCAAACACATGGGGAGTAGTGAACTGTACGCAGGGGACTAAGGGCTACAGCCACTATGAGTATATCACACCCCAATGGGCCACACATGTCCAGCAGAGACTGGCCAATGATAGGCCCAGAAGGGACAGGAAGCTCTGTGCCAGCGACCAGGTTGGGAGCCACCAGCTCTGAATGGCACAGTGAGGAGTGCCTGGGGGCAGTGAGAGGTAGTCTGATGGAGGCCATAGGGGTCAGTGGGTTGAAAGGAGGCTGGGTATGTGCTGGGACCATGCTGGCTGCTGACTCAGTCCAAGCCGAGTCCCAAAGGGCTGGTGCCATGGGGACACCAGGCCTGCAAGTGAGTGCCCAGTGGGATGGCCCCCTGGGGGTGGCAGCTGTCCCCAGGGAGCATGTGGGCTAGACCCCGTCAGTCATGGCAGGGACCACAGCAGCCACAACCTTACCTGGGGCTCTGCAGCTGGAACACCCACCTCTTGGAGATGGGGCTCTGCAGCTAGGTGCCAGGACGCCCCCCTCTTGGGGATGACAGGCTAGTCTGGCAGGTGGCTGCACCATCCTGACCACCTGCTGCAAAGAACGTTCTGGATGCAGGATCCCCTCTCCCACAATCAAGGGGCTCCCCAGGGGCTGCGAGGAGCCCAGCACAGCAGGTGGAGCACTCAACTGAGGACGCATTTTAGGTAAGGATTGTAAGGGGCGGGGGCAGGGCCAACTATGAACGGGGGCCCTGGATGTGCTGACAGCCCCGGGACCTGGGCACAGAGCTGGGCAGGGCTCTTGCTGCAGCCAGGGGTGGGCCCTGTCGACATGGCCTCGGCCCACCCCGGCTGCTGCCGCCGCCAGCCTTCCTCAGAGTGGGTCTCACGCACATTCTTCAGGTTGCTCGTTCTTTTCCTTTCACCTTTGTCTCCTCCTCCCAGTGTCCTAGGGTCTGCAGGAGATGCCAATGACGGGGCATGGGAGATCTGTCCATCTCAGCCTGCCTATCCCCAGCTCCTGAGAGGAGAGGAGTCCTGCCGTGGGCACCCCTTGCCTTCAGGCTCACTGAGACAGTCACTCCCCACCCCTTTAGCTGCCACCCCTACACAGGCATTGTATAGGCAGTGGGACTGGCTCTCCCTCAGGTGCATCCACCTTACCGGGGAGCTGGGTCCCAGAGGGGCATGTAACCGGGCAGAGGGGCTGTCATCAACGGAGGAGTCCCTTTCAACGGCAGCCTGCGCAGGAGGTTAGGATGGAGTGCAGTGGGAAGGGCGATTCAGAGTCATCCACAAGTCCCAGTGTGCCCAGGCTGCAAACAGCCCCCAGTTCCAAGCCTAGAAAGGCCAGGTGGACAGGGGGAGTCCAGGGTCTCCCTGCCCAGATGCTGCCCATCTAGGTCACTCCAACCCTGTGGTCAACTGCCTGGTGCAAGAGACCTGGCTCCAGGCTGATGGGCAGCACACTTTTCTGAACCTCATGGCACACTTAATAAGCAAGTGTGAAACTAGGACACTTCTAGAAAGAAATGGAAAGTAAAGTTTAAGTATGATACCAAAAGCTTGCAGCTGAATGGATGGCCAAACTTTCTCCCAACTCCTACCTTTGGCACTGCAGCAGAAGCCACTTGGAGGACGAGGAGACAGAAGCCACAGAGTGGACTGGGGCATGACGGGAGTCAGAGACACTGTGACAACAGGCTTCCCTGCCAGGGCCCCCAGGGAGCTGCTGCACACCTGGGCAGGTGCAGACATGGCCACTGGGCTGCAGCAGACTGCAGACCAGGCAGCACCCTGGGGAACAGGAGCAGCACCTCCATGGACTCGCCCCTGCTGGTGTGACGTTTTCTGAGGAAATGGCCCAGGAAAACACTATACGATCACCACGGGCCCCTACTGCTGCCCACTGCAGTGGCAGCCACAGATAAGGGGACAGGCTGGGGCCTGCTGCCCCTACCTAGATGAAGATGTCTGATCCTGTTGCACCTGTGTGCGGCAATTCTATGCAGGATCATCAAGCACTGGGCATACCTCGGGTGGTCCTCGACGGCCCCAACGCACTGTGGGAGCAACTGGAGGGAACCCCAGGTGTTGCAGACAGATGACCTGGGCTCAGATGACATGAGCTCAGACACTCCAGGTCCTGGCTGACAGACCCAGGGTGGGACCAGCATGAGGACAGGCGTGGAGGGGAGGGGAGCAGTGTCTGGGGATGGTGTGTGTCCTGGGCCTGCCTGTGCCAAGGCTTACAGCAACTGAGTTCCCAGGATTGAGCAGGGCAGTGGCCACCCTGCTGTCCCAAACCCTGGGCCCCGGCCCTCATCTCCCCTCAGGTCGCCCCCTCTGGGCTCACCTAGGAAGCACAGCAGCCACAGAGGTTTTAAAGGATCTGTATTGTCACGGAGGTCTGCAATGAAAAAGTTAAACTTGGAGTTGACGGTGCTGCGAGCTGATCCAGGCACCCATCTACCCACAGGCAGCAGGCCAGGACACCGGGCGGCCACACAGCACCCGTGAGGGCACCGGGCCTGTCAGGTGGCAGGAAGCTGGGCCCATAGAGAGGGCAATGGGCAAGAGGCTCTGATCAGTGTTTTAGGGCTCCCAAGGAGGGGAGGGAGTCCCCAGGAGCACAGAGCAGAAGCCAAGGCCGACTCCCAGCACGACAGGGAGCAGCCCTCCCAAGGCCGCAGTGAGAAGCCAGGATGACCAGTGTGGCACAGGCCACAGCCGGGCACCCACACCACAGCCTCCCTCTCTTTAGTCCCTTTCCACTCTCAACAGAAAGATGTGTAACGTGGCGGGAACAGGGCTTTCTCTGTACAAAGTGGAACTCCCCACACCCCTTGAACGGAAGCCAGGAGCTGAGCAGGACCACATGGCATGGGAGGAGACTGCTGGTGGCTCCTCCTGGTGCCCAGGAGGGAGGCAGGTGGCACTGCTGTCAGCACGGGTCTGCTGGCCGCTGCTGGCCTCCAAGGCGCCGCACGCTGCCAGGGGCTGCAGCTTGCGGCTAGAGCAGTATGTGGTACTTGAGAGCCCTGGGGACCCGGTTGATGACCAGCCTCCCATCATAGCTCAGCGAAGCGAAGAGCCAGGGGTCAGCCGAGGACCAGTCCACAGCGTAGACACTGTCTTCGTGCTCCTCGTAGGTGGCGATGACGTTGTCCTGCAGCGGCTCCTTGCTCCTGCAACCCAGCACACAGACAGGAGCATGTAAGAGGAGGAGCACGGATGGTGGGGAAGACCCTGTCAGCGAAGCAAACCAGAGGACCCGGCGAGGGGGCCAGGCACCACGGGGACGAGGCCCCTCTGCCCGGTCGCACAGCCCCCTGGGCTTCTCGCCTCCCATCCAAGAGCAAGTCACTGCGTTCAGCACCCTTGACACACGGTACTCACAAAGCAGGAGAAGGAGTATCCTCCCAGCACACAGGGTCCGAGCCAGGGACGTGGGCCTGTGCCAGTGGGGAACCTCGGCCTGTGTGCCCGAGACTGGCAACCAAGGCTACCCACCTGCAGGTCCCCAGCCCTTGGTGCGCAGCAGAAAACCCCACGTGAGTGCTTGTGCAGCTTCCTCCCCCAGGGCTGGCCCCGAGGCACGCACTTCACCCTCTCTACCATCTCTGGTGCTGCTATCTCAAGGAGGCCTGGTTCCCAGCAGGGGAACCTGCTACTGGTCAGCTGAGGCTTTGTGACAAACACCAAGCCAGGCCTCTGGTGTACCCCTGGAGCCCAGCCTTGCTCCCTCCGTAATGCGGGCTGCACGGGAGTAGCCCTGCGTCACCACGGAGACCCCACCAGGTTGTGGCTCCCTGAGGAGGAAGCCCCACTCCTCTGAATGTGCGCACATGGCAGTGGGACGGACACTGCAGAGGGCTCCCCATGTGTGACCAGACAAGGGGACCTGGAGGACGTGCTCCCACAGACTCAGATGCGCCTCTGTCTTAGAGTTCAACCTGTCCCCATTCTTCAGGCTTCACTGCAAAGCCGCCTCCTCTCAGGCTCCACAAGCAAATGGCTGCCAACACAAGTATGAACCCCCGGGGGAGCACAGGATGGCTCCTGCGAGTGCCCAGCCTGAGGCTCCACCTCTCCTCCTGCAGACAGCAGCAGCCCGTGCTCCACTCCACAGGAGCCCCGACGAGGCCTGGCCGGCCCTGACTAAGACAGGGGACTGAGGACCCTGTGTGGTGCAAGGTGAGCTCAGGCCTGGGAAGTCTCCCCATCACAGAAGCAATTAGGCTTAAAAGCACGAGGCAGGATGTGTGCCAGGCCCAGGACGCAGCAGGACTGGGTGCCAGCTCCACTGCATGTCAGCTGAGGGCTCCAAGGGCCAGTGCCTCTGAGCGCACGCTCCCAAGTTGAAGGTGGTAAGGGTGCCCATCACAATGTGTCCCTCCCAGGAAGCACCCCGGGTGGATGAAGGTCAGTTGTCATCATCCCCAAGCTGGGGCTGGAGCTGGTGGCCATCTGAGAGCTCTCACAGAGGTATATGGCAAGGGAAGGGAAGACACATGCAAAGGACCACCCCAGCTGTGAGCCACACCAGACAGAAGGAGCAGGTCCACCCAGAGAATCCACCTGGACCTGCAGTGTGGACAGGCCCACCCACAGTGAGAGGTGATGGGGGGAGCAGTATTGTGGCGTGGCAAATGAATCCACGATCTGCAGTGCCGCCATCCCATAGGGCACCAGTTTCAGTCCTAGCTGCTCCATTTCTGATACATCTCCCTGCTGGAAGGCCTGGAAAAGCAGCAAAAGATGGCCTGGGGCCTTAGTCCCTACACCTCCATGGGAGAACTTGGAGAAGCTCCTGGTTTTGAACCCAGCCCAAATCATGGCAGTCATTTGGGGAGTGAACCAGCAGATGAAACATTCTCTCTCTCTGTAACTGCCTTTCAGATAAATAAATATTAGAGAAAGCTCTGTGAGAAGATGGCTCCCAGCCTGCAGGGGGCACTCTGTCCCTGTGCGTCCTTACTTCTCTTCCGGGTGGTGCTCCTCCTGGTCACTGATGTCATCGTCGTCCACCAGGTGGCCGAAGGGCTCGGAGGAGATGGACACCATGTTGGACAGGATGACTCTGCTGTCGCTGCTGCCGCTGAGCACCAGCTGGTCATGAGAGTGGTTGTAGCGCACGTTCCACACCCTGTGGAAGAACGAATAGCAGGGGTGACCTTCCTGCGGGTGGCCTCTGCAAGGAGACCTTCCCTGCCCATGCCGCAGCTGCCAGGAAGTTCTGGGTTTGCCCAGTCACAGCAGGTGGAGCTGAGCCTGACCCTGCAAAGGGAAGGGGGGCCTCTGGAACTGTTCACAGCAGCAGATGCATCAGCAACAACTTGACTTACACCAGCAGCCACCACGCAGGGTCCAGGGCCCAGGCCGCAGAGGCCGAGCACACCCAGCCTGTGGAGGTGTGCACTAAGTCAGGGACCCATGAAGTTTGCCAGATGGAATGTGGTCATCCGGGGCTTTTTAATCCTTCAGCTACAGGACGGTCATTCTGAAGGCCTCCTGCCCACCAGAGCCCAGGGCCGCAGGAAGCCCAGGGGCACCCCTCCTTGGTCCGCCCACCAGCCCAGGCCCCTCAGCCTACCAGTGGGAGTGCTCCTCCAGGGTCTTCACAGGCTCCGTCACGTTCCGTGTGTCCCAGAACTTCACCTTGCAGTCATCCCCACAGCTCGCTAAGTAGTACTGCTTATTGGGGTTGAAGTCAAGGTCACGCACCAGCTGTCCGTGGGCATTCTCAATGCAGTACACCTGACTGAGGGACAACAAGCCACATGCAGATGGCCCAGGGCACCCAGGGAGTACTGCGCCCGAGGCTTCTCAGAGCCCACGGCACCAGGCACTGCAACCCAGCCTAACAGGGAGCAGCTCAGGGCTGGCAGGGCTTAGTGGGGGCACCCCATGTGCTCGCACCATGGCAGCAGTTTGCAGGTGCCAGAAGGACAGTGGCAGCCTTGGAGACCGCCTTTGGGACAGACAGCTGGCATGTGTTAGGACACGGTGAGGAAAGAAAAGGACAAGACAGACGACGAGGGTGGCATAACCTGTCCTGCTGCTCAGGTGGGAGACAGGGAGGGAGAGAATGAGAGGAAGGGAGGAAGCGAGAGTGCAAGAGGGAGAGGGAGGAAGGGGGGAAAGAAAAAGGGGGGAGAAAGAGAGAGGGAGGGGAGAGAGAACGGGGGGGGGGAAGGGAGAGAGGAAGGGGCAGAGAGAGAGAGAGAAGAAAGAAAATCCGAGCTCCTTGTCTGTCCCACTGGGGTTAGCTCACTCGCTCACGCCCCCAGGCACACCACACGGAAGGCCCTGTGCAGCCAGCTCATGGGGAATGTCACAACCCTGCATGGAGAACATGCTCTCACACACAAGCACACAGCCAAGCAATGCGCACATATGCCTGTGTACACATGTGAAATGACACGCATGCCTTCCAGTGGAAGCTCGGGGCTCCAGAGCTCCTGCTCCTCATGTGGTCTGAAGTCAGATGCTGCTCACACGGCTCCCTCTGCGGCTGGGAGTCCCCAGGAGGGGATAGTCCCCCAGCCTGGCACCGTCCTCCCTCCCCTCACAGTGGGACCACAATCCCCCCTGGTCACGGAGTGCCCTTGCCTGACACTGCTTCAGCAGGGACAGCGTGCCCTGCACTGCTCTCGGGAAGCTCAGCTCCATCCCCTCCTTCCTCTCCCCGGGGCAACCTTCCAACCTCAGCCCCTTTTCATCATGAACAGGCATCCGTACCGGGCATCGCTGCCATTCCCCAATGTTCTTTTCCTGAAGGAAGAGGCCCTAACCCGAAGGCCCTTCAAATGACCCAGGCACACGTTTGCAATGAAGGATTGGACGAGCCATTGCTGCTCGGCCTTTTGGCTAAGATTAAGTGTAGGAACGGATGATCCCTGGAGTGCAACACGGACAGCCACACACAGCCTCACCCGAGAGGCAGCGCTCACCTGTGCCACAGCCCCTCACACACAGGGAGTCGGGGTTCCCAGGTGGGAGCCACAGCCCTGTCTTGCGTCACCCACTGCGGGTGTTAGCCCGTCTGCGGACAAAGCAGGGGAGGGCAGGACGTGTGTCCACTTATTGCCCAATATCTTAGCTTCCCGACCTTGGACACCGGAATTCCTCACCCGCTTCAAGGAACAAGGAGGGCAGAGCAAAGGCAGCAGGGTGGGCTGCATCTCAGGCCGTGGCTCCTGCCAGCACACAGCACCCCCGTGTGCAGGCACACTGCTGCAGAGGAGGGGTGGGCACAGATCAGCCCCCGGCTTCTCACGGGGGCCTCGGATTAAAGCCGTGCCCCCACCCTGGAAGAGACTGAGCTGCTACGTGACAGCCGCCTTTTCCGCTCAATGATAAATGAGGGTGTGCCGAGGGGATAAACTGTATCTTAAAAAAGCTATGCGGGCTCCCGTCACCATGGCAACCGACGTGCCCGCCATCACTCCTTTGCCTATCAAAACCACTAGTGGAACAGAAAAATCGCTCTTATTTGTTCCATTAGAACTGCTGGCTGCTGTGTGTAATTACTCAGATGACAAAATACCATGGCCTGACAGGTGCGCCTCTCCAAGGCACAGACATGCTCAGATGACCCCGCCAGGGCCTTCCCGGGGCCTGCGGAGAGCCAGGGCATCATGCTGCTGGGGATTGCACAAAGTCCTCATCTGAGCTCTCCTTGCAGATGGCCACTTACGCAGGGACAGTGACATGCAGCCTGGAGGCTTCCCCAGCAGCCACGTGCTAGCTCAGCATTAGACAGGGCTTTCTACAGGAACCAAAGCCATGTGCCTCCTCACACACCTGCTGGTGCATGTCATGGGTGTCCAATGACAAAGGACAGGAAGGGAGATGAGTGTGGGCGGGCGGGGGAGGGTCACTGACCTCATGCTCCGTGTGTCCCACCCGCGGACGGAGGTGTCGTTGGCCGTGGCCACCTGGGTGCAGTTGTGGTGCGGGCTCCACCGTCCCGCTGTGAACTTCAGCTGCCCCTTGCCTTCCAGGGAGGCGGAGCTCGCCAGCTGGGAGAGCCATGTGGGTGCAAGGGGAGAAAGAGGGTGTCAGTGAGCACTTCAGAGCAGCCAGGGGCAGGGCCCAGATCAAGGAGCCCACGGAGGAATGCTGAGAGGGAGACGGGATGTCTTTGTTCTTTTCCAACAAAAGGCAAGAGTGCTTGAGGTTTATTTGGGAATAGCTATGAGACTGAGCACAGCACCAACCGAAAGTACATGAAGCCCTCTGCTGTGAGGGTCTGCGAGCCCCACGTGGCTGGAGAGAAGCAGCCCCAGCTCGGCAGGAACCCTGGGACTTGAACGCTGCTCTCCAGCCAACTCCCCTGCCCTGTCACCAAGGCAGGCGCCCGGGAGCCGCTGGGCACTGCCTGCGGGGCTGACGCCTCTGCCAGGGGAGCTCCCCATAACTTATGTGCCCATGAGGGGTTCCTGCCGAAGACTTCACGGTGCTTTCACCTTTTACTTCATCATTTGTTCATGCAGAGGCTTCTAAAAAAGCAGGCGGTCAGCTCTGCCTCCACGGACCACCGCTGCATGGAAGCCGCAGTCCCCAATTCACCCTAGGAGCCTCCGAGGGGCCTATGGCTGGCCGCCAGGTGAGGCAGGCCAGGGATGAGCAGGGTGCTGAGGGCCAAGCCAGTGTGGAAGGCTCTCAGTCGTCCTGCCAGGGCCAGAAGCCAGCACCCGTTTGCCCAGAGAGGGAAGGACTTTGTCATTTCATTGGGCGCATGAGGAGGGATTGAAGAGCATACACAGGCAACCCTGGCAGGAAGCTGAAGACAGTGGCTCCCCCACTGGGGCTGGGCAAAGACCGGCAGGCCAGGAAGGACCACTTCACTTTCACTTCAAAGCCTGGGTGGCCCAGAGGCCTGTGTGAAGGATGGGGACCCAGGAGGGCGAGGAGCACTGCCTGCCAAGGGCCTCGGGGTCCTACAGGGCCCTGCACAGTGACCTGGCTGCCCAGGTCCTGCCAAGTCCTCCGGGCTCTGAGCAGCTTGCCTCTTCCCCCAGAGATGGCTCAGACCAACACTGGAAGCTTGCTTTCCTGGGACACTGGCCCAGTTAGGTCCCAGGAGCTGTGGCTTAGGGAACCATGGTCTAGCTGCAGAACCCCAAGTTCTTGGGGCGGCAGCAGCAGGAGCTGCTGGTCATTCTCTCAGAGCCGTGGTTCTGCACTTGGCCCAGAAAGCCTCCCCGGCCCACGGAGGAGATTCCCTAGACACAAGTCCCGCACTGAGCAGCCGCTGTCCTCCTCATGGTCACATACCAAGTGTAACGTGTCCAACAGTGACATCATGATCTCTGCTCAACTCCACAGGTGCCCACGGCTCCTTACTGCACGGGGAGCCACGGCAGGCAGCCCAGGAGGACCCACCAGAACACAGGGAAGGGCTGAGCACCCAGGGGTTCCGACAGGGACATACCTGTGCTGGAGGGGAGCTGGGCAGCGGCAGGGGGTGTGGGAGTGAATGGAGACTCGGGTAGTACGGCTGAGGTCCAAACCAGACACGCAGGCTCGTGAGAGGACACGATCAGGCTAGAAGGGCCTGGGCACGTGGCCGAGCCCGTGAGAGCTTCACAGGCATTGCGGGCTGCAGCGCTCACGGCAGGCAGCCGAGCAGCAGGGAGCGGGGAGCCAGGGCTAGGCAGACTAGAAGCAGCACTGGGGGGCCAAGGCTGAAGGACTCCCCACAATCAGCAGCTCCCCAAAAGGGCAATGTGAGTCTAGAGCCCGGGTTGTGCCGGGATGAGAGCTGCTGTCACAGGGACTCCTCCTCATAGCCCCCTCACACCTGCTCCCCACAGCCCACCCTACCACAGCCAGGAGCAGACTGCCAGACAGCCCATTGCCTGGCACCCAGAGAGAGGCAGAGACCCAGGGAGCAGGCATGCACCCTGACCACGCTGCCCACAGAGAGGTGACTCCCCTTGTCAGCAGGACAGATTTCCGAGTTCCCCCTTTCCACTAGAATTCAGTGTAGGCAAGGCTGTGCTGACACCTCTGCATGTGCCGCTGGAGCTCCTTGTGGCAGTGCCAGACCCGGGCAAGAGTCGGAGCTCACGGGCACAGTCAGGGCACGCAGCTCCTCCAGGAGAACCAGATGCCACAAACAGGCAGAAACAGGCTCTGCCTCCTGAGAAACAGGGCTGAGCTGCCTGCAGGGGGCAGCCCATCAGGGAGCCGTTCCACTTCCTGTCTAGCTTCTTACCAGCAAAGCACTTGGGCCCTGCCAGCCGTGCGTGACACCCAGACGGAGCCCCAGGCTCCAGGCTGTGGCCTGGGCAGCCCCAGATGCAGTGGCCATTTGTGAAGTGAACCAGAGCACAGAAGCTCACTCCTGTTCTCCACCTCACCCTCTAACAATGTCTTTCAATTAATCAAACACATAAAGTATCTTAAGAGTCTCAAGTACATGTTATCAAGGGTATCAGGGAGCTGAACTTTTACCTTAATTTTACAACTTACAATGTTTTAACTTCCTTTAGAAAGCCAAACAAAACATTTAAAATATTTATATATTTGACATTTTTAGCTTTCTGAAGAGCTAAGTTCATTAATGATTATGCATCGATGACAAGAAATGCACCTTAAAAATAAGATCAATAAGCAGGATAGATTAGAGGCTAAATATTCTCTAATCACTATTATGTTCTAGTTAATTTCCTATTAAACATATTGATTATATCAGTTCTTCCAGAAAGATGAAAATGAGGTTGCATCTTTACACGGTACTATAAATTCAATGGAGACAAAGAAAGCCCATTCCCCTGGCCCACTCCCCAAACGTCCTTAGTGGCCAGCACCAGGTCTGCTAAAGCCAGGAGCCAAGACTGCCAGCCGGGAATCCCAGGCGGGAGGCAGGGACACCGATCCTGGAGCCCTCACCCGAGTCCCCAGGGGGGAGGCAGGGACACCGATCCTGGAGCCCTCACCCGAGTCCCCAGGGGGGAGGCAGGGACACCAGTCCTGGAGCCTTCACCTGGGTCCCCAGAAGGGAGGCAGGAACATGGGTCCTGGAGCCCTCACCTGAGTCCCCAGGCGGGAGGCAGGGACACTGGTCCTGGAGCCTTCACCCGGGTCCCCAGGGGGGAGGCAGGAACACGGGTCCTGGAGCCCTCACCCGGGTCCCCAGGGGGGAGGCAGGAACACCGGTCCTGGAGCCCTCACCTGAGTCCCCAGGCAGGAGGTAGGGACACTCGGTCACGCAGCCCTTACCTGGGCAGAGCTGAACAGGAGTGGACCAAACTCTTACATAGCACATGGGATTTAAGCCAAAAAACCAAATGCTCACCCTGAGGGCAGCTTCTGTGGGATCCTGCACCGAACTCTGCCACCCCAGGTCCTAGGGCCTCCACACATTCTGGGGAAGGGGGCATGCAAGCCGGTGCCACCTGTTGCCAACACCCACAGAGCTGACCCCTTCTGACCCATCAGAGCCACTGGTAAACAGTGGAAGCAGATCCCACAGCCAGGGTGGGGGTACAGTCTAAGACATTTGGGGAAGGGCAAGCACCTGGCACCTTAGGCGTGAGGGCACATCTCACCAAACCCAGACTCTGGGTTGCTGATGTAAAACCCAGGAGGTAAATGTGGCCATGCAGCAGGAAACCTGATGGTTGCTTGTGAAATGGCAATAGCAAAGGAACACGAACATGAGGCACCGAGCAGAGGCCGGGGGGCCCTTGCAAGTGGGGGCAGACCGGGAGTCACCCTACAGCTTGGGCACAGGCCAGGCCCCCCCCTCTAATCAGCAGTCAGGAAAGGCAGAGCCCAGAGAGGGCAGGTGGCTGGCTGCAGGCCACCCCGCCGGTGAGAGGCTAAGCCGAGACCCTGCTCCAGGTCTGCATCAGCCACGCCACTGTGTGCCCTCCCAGAGAAAGGAGAATGCCACACCCCAGCTGCAGAGGAGCCTGCAAGGTGAATTTTAATAAAAACCTGAAAGAGATTTTGCATCCATTTCTGAGGGGCTGCTCAGGGCAGACAGCATGGCGCACGCTGCATGGTGAATCAATCACGATTTTCGGTTTCCTGGTGGCACAGAGACAGAACTCAGCAAGCACTCCACGGGGTGCGTGGCACATGCTAGTCGGCTTCTCAGCATTAAAGAGAAATATTCAGCGCATCCTGGTCCAAGCGGGATGATTAAAGGTATCCCACAAGCCCTTGCAGGCCAGACGTTAGCAGGGCAGGATGAGAACAAAGGCGGCTCCTCCCGATGAGCAAACACAGCCGTTCACGCGGGGATCTCTCCACGAGCCAGCCACAGACAAAAGCCTGCACTGCCTGCCACCAGGAGCCACAGAGCCACACGGGCGGGTGGAACGGAGGAAACCCTCCACACGGGAGGAGACCACAGAGGAGCAGACGCCCCCGTGAGGAAGATGATGAGACCAGAGGGAGGGCTGCCCTGAGGGTAGCCAGGCGAGGAAACAGCAGGACGTGGCACATGGAGCACAGGGCAGAAGCCCTGCTGTGGGTCTCCTGGCACCGGAGCCTGTGCACACTGGCTGACAACAGCCACAGCTGCCACCCTGAGACTCTGCCTCCCTGAGCTGGGCTTGCTGCCCTGGCCACGGCACATGGCACATGTCCTTACAGAGGTGCAGAGCAGCCTGCTTTCCCGGCCCGAGGTGGGAAGGACCTTGCAGTGACACGGAGCAGGAGGATGCACAGTGTGGCTGAAGACCAACGGCATGGGCGAGCAGCACAACCAGCACACTCTGGAATACTTTATGCCCTGAATGGTGGTTTTCTTCTGGATCGGGACTCCCTCATGGCTTGAGCCAGTTCTGGAGTTTGGCAGCAAATCCCTCTTGACCACCACAACTGCGATACCTGTTGCAGACCCCAGGGGCAGACTCTCTGCCTGCGCAGCCTGCAATTCCCAGCTCCAGGGGAGGATGGGGGAAGGAGAAAGAGGCAGATCTTCCATCTGCTAGTTCACTCCTCAAATGCCCACAGTAGCTGGGGATGGGGCCCGTGGAAGTCAGCAGGCTGGAATGCCATGGGAAATTACCCACTTGGTATGACTGGCAGGGCCCAAGTACTCGAGCCATCGTCCTTTCACCCGTGGGCATGCGTTAGCAGGATGCTGGCCCGGAAGTGGAGGAGTGGGCACTTGCACCAAGCACTTGGCAGGACCGTGAGCACCCCACCTGGCCTCGAACCACTGTAGCCACACCCTCCTCTCCCAGCTCCAGCTCTGCTCCTGAGTCACTTGCTCCCTCCTGGAGCACCAGGAGACACCCTGCAGGGTTGAGGGTGACCTGAGGTACAGGAGCACATCCAGGCGGCAGCATTCTGCATCCGTCCTCACTGTGACTGAATGCCCAGGCCTGGAGCCGCCAGGGGAGCGCAGCAAAGCCATGCTGCAGGCTGTGGTTCACAGTGCTTATGTGCACAGGCCAACAGTGGGAGTGGAAGGCTGGAGCTCCTGCGAGTCCTTGAGGCCCACTGACCCTTGGGGACCCCGAGGAGAAGATGTGCTCTCAGGCCAGGACAGAGGCCACAGCCTGTGCTCAGAGGAGGCGCTGGGGAAAAGACAGAGGTGGGCACCGAGTCCTGCAGATCAGGTCCCGAGGGAGATGGCTCACGGGCAAGCGGGACACACAGACCAGTGGGAACCACGACCTGGGAACACGTTCTAAGAGGGACACAGGTGGCCAGCTTGAGGGCTGTCAGCGGCCCCCTCCGCACTTGCGCGTGAGGGAATCTGACGCAGCCTCATTTTCAGTTCATCTCACCACCAAAGATTCCATTTGTAAGAAGAAGAATAAAAGCGCTTTGCTCCACTTCTGAAAAAATCATATGTAAGGCTCACAATGCAGACCTGACCTCAAGGCTGCACGTTCCAAACTACAAGGCTGTGAGCCGGACCTAAGGGGTCACACCCCGCCGTCCCGTGGGCCCAGCTCCCTCCTACACAGCTGTGCACACTGAGGCCTGGGTGCTCGCTTCCCCTGGGCCACTGGGCCTGCCCGTCCCAGCAGAGCCAAGGCACCGCCGAGCCGCCACGGCCCTGAGACCGACGGCAAAGCACAACAGTCGTCACTGTGCGTCTGCAGTCGGCACTCTGCACAGGACCCCACCGGTGCCAGGGCTGAGTCACAGCTGCACATGGTCAACAGCTCTGTCCTCTGAAACGCTTGCTTCTCCAGGTGTACCACCTGCCCTCTGCCACCAGACAGAACCCTGCCCGGAATGTGGGCAACACTCAGAGGCTAGGCACAGCCACCTAGCCAGGGGTTTCTCCTACATTTTTCCTCTCAAAAGCTAACTGGAAGACTAAAATAACATCATATAAAAATAATTGTGTGCTGAGCCCAGCACTTTAGTGGCTAAAGTCCTTGCCCTGCATGCACTGGGATCCCATATGGGTGCCAGTTAGTGTCTTGGCCACCCCACTTCCCATCCAGCTCCCTGCCTGTGGCCTGGGAAAGCAGTAGAGGATGACCCAAAGCCTTGGGACCCTGCACCCACATGGAGACCCACGAAAGAGCTGGTTCCTGGCTTCAGATCAGATCAGCTCTGGCCACTGCGGCCACTTGGGGAGCAAATCAGTCAACGGAAGATCTTCCTCTCTGTCTCTCCTCCTCTCTGTATATCTGTCTTTCCAATAAAAGTAAATAAATCCTTTAAAATCATAATTATTGCGTGCAATGTTTAGAAAACCAAAAGTTATGTGTTAATGCCACAGTAAGATGTGAGGACACAGTGGCAAATGAGGAAGCTACTCAACTCCACACCTTCTTTGTAAAAACCAAGTACCCTAAAGCCTCAGTCCACGCCCAGGCCTGAAATCGCAGCTCTCAAGGGGTCATCTGTTTTAATGAGGTAGGAATAGCTCCAAAATGTGTGGGACGCATTTTTATGAGCCCCCAAGGACTCAGTCTCTATGTGGTTCTCACGCGATCCCGAGCAAGCAGCTTAGAGAGCTCTCTCATCCAAAGGCCACATTTCACCCTGTTGGGACAGAAGGTGCCTGACAACCTGAGGTGCCCAGCTGGCGGGTATGTCATCTGAGAACTTAACTGTGCTGCAGAGGCTGGCCTAGGGGACAAAGCCAGGCCACCACAGTCCCTGGAAGGTCCTTTCCAGCCAGCCTCCTCGGCCCAAGTCACGAGGTCTGAAGTGGGGAGAAGCTGGGCCTTGGCGAGCCTCGCCCACCCGCTCCTCTGCAGGCCCTCCGCAGCATTCCGGCTCCCAGCGCCGTGACCCAGCCCAGTCTCCACACCAAAGCCCTGCTGAGCGAGGGGCCCTGCCCTGCTGACAGCGGCATGGGGCAGCAGCAGCTCACACGCATCGGCTGGCCAGGTGTTCTCCCTAGCTGGCCTCAGGAGCAGCAGGACAAGACAGGAAGATGGCCCAGAGTACCATGGATGCCCTGTGCCCGGTTCTTCAAGGACGACGCAGCATCAGGAGCCTCTTCATTCCCCACCAAAAGCCTGGACACAACAGCCACCCAGACCCTGGGCGCCGGGATTACAGCTTGCATCAAGGTCTCCAGGTCTCAGTTGGCACACAGCTTGGAGTCACAGGGCTGGCCTCCCTGCCAGTCCCAGTCCAGTCGGAGAAGCCTGTGTGCTGCCAGCACACTGCCCATCCTTCAGACTGCCCATGTGAGGGCCGTCAGGAACACTGTGCTCCACCGTGAGGCCTGCCCAGCACTCAGCCCCTGCTCGGCCGCCGTCCACGTCCAAGGACCCCGTGGAAGCTCTCACCCCAGGCCTCCCCCAGGCTCAGCTAATGATTGTAAATGGCAAGGAAGCTCCAATTTAATTGCAAAAGCTAATGATGCATTGAGCCTAAGATTGGATTCCCCACAGAAGGCAATATCCTCAGACAATAAAACAACAAAACTTGGAGGCTGGGTGTGAGCACGGCAGAGCCCGGTGGGAAGGCTCCCAGATCGAACAGCGCAGCGTAGGGTCACGACGTGGAGCTGACAGAGCTGCTGACAGCGGATAAAAAACGGGAGAGAAGCTGAATTGATCTTATGGAAAAGAGCCTACAGATTAATCACCCTTCCACCAAATCTTTTTGAGATGACTTGGGGTCTGAGCAGTGTTCGCTGTCTGACTACAGAGCAGGCCAAGCAGTGCCGTGGGTCCGGGTGCCCAGGGCTGCGGAGGGGCCGCCCACACTTGGCCCTGCCCCGGCTTCGCGGAGCAGCCTTAGCAGATCTCACTGTGCGTTCCCAGCTCCATGGGGCTGAGGTGGGGCCTGGGGACGAGCGACCGGCTCCCACAGCACCAGGCCCGTGACCGGCTCCCACCACTGCACCAGGCCCGTGACCGCCTTCCACAGCACCAGGCCCATGACCGGCTCCCACAGCACCTGGCCCATGACCGGCTCCCACAGTACCTGGCCCGTGACCGCCTCCCACAGCACCAGGCCCGTGACTGACTCCCACAGCACCAGGCCCGTGACCGGCTCCCACCACTGCACCAGGCCCGTGACCGGCTCCCACAGCACCAGGCCCGTGACTGGCTCCCACAGCACCAGGCCCGTGACCGCCTCCCACAGCACCAGGCCCGTGACCGGCTCCCACAGCACCAGGCCCGTGACCGCCTCCCACCACTGCACCAGGCCCGTGACCGGCTCCCACAGTACCTGGCCCGTGACCGCCTCCCACAGCACCTGGCCCGTGACCGGCTCCCACAGCACCAGGCCCGTGACCGCCTCCCACAGCACCTGGCCTGTGACCGCCTCCCACAGCACCTGGCCCGTGACCGCCTCCCACAGCACCAGGCCCGTGACCGCCTCCCACAGCACCTGGCCCGTGACCAGCTCCCACAGCACCAGGCCCGTGACCGCCTCCCACAGCACCTGGCCCGTGACCGCCTCCCACAGCACCTGTCCTGTGCATGACTCATTCCCACTGTATAACCCGTTGAGGGGAGAGCGGCCTGTGGGGGTCTGCAGGGCCAACCTCAGCTGCTATGTTGCCTTCACACTTCCTGTTCCATGTTCAAAGCTGTGTGAACCTTGCCATGTAGTCCCATGATGGGAACATGGGTCATATTTTAAAATGTTGTGGTAAAAAGAATGATCCCTCTGCCCATGTGCTTGGAAACCAGCTCCCTGTAAATTTCATAGTGAAGCCTGCCCTTTTGGACCATTCAGATTTTAAAATTCCAACAAGACACCTATATTTACACAGTCTGACTCGGGGCTCCACAAGAATCACGACAAACCCTCCCTTCTGCTCCCTCAGTCCCGAGGGGAAGGAAGGCCAGCGGGGCCGCAGCGCCAGAGGACACGGAGCCTGATGCTGGACCCTGCTCCACTGCGTACAAACTAGCAGCACACGCACCGTCATTTCGAATTTCCTGAATTTTCTCTTTTTTAAAGTTGTTACTTTGACAGAAACAAATGCAGTGAAATTACAAATGTGTGTGGAACTACATTTTAAGAGAGAAAAATTTAAGGAATCAAAAAAAAAAAAAAGGAAAAATACATGCCAATATTTACTCTATAAAAGATAAAGTATTCAAAATGATGAATATTTGAAAGCAAAGTTGGTTCCAAAGTAAGTACTAAAATTATTTTCATCATATGCAAATATACTAGAAGAGTTAGCCAACACTGTGAAATCAGTGTTTTATAACCACTCCCACTTTAAAAGTCTGAATTCAACCAAATGTTTTCCAAACCCATTCACTAAACGGGGGCCCATTCTTTGGAAGATCCACTTCCTCCTTCAGACAATGGAGGTGGAAGCTGAGAGGGTTCAGTGTCACTTCCCGCAGCTCTCAGCTTCCTCCAGTCCGTCCCCTAGACCCCTGGGAGTCACTGTTGGCATTCCTCCGGTGCATCCCCTAGACCCCTGGGAGTCACTGTCGGCATTCCATGGGAGCAGGATGTGAACCACCTGGAGCGCGTGCTCATGGGTACTCACCACAGCCCGGCCGGAGCTCTGCTGCAAGTCCCACAGCAGGATGTGGTTGTCGGCCAAGGAGATGACCTTCTTCCCATCTCCCATGGGCTCCCAGGTCACACTGAGGACAGAGAAGGACGAACGTGAACTTGGACACACACCTCGAAGCACAATGGGCCACACACAGCTCTGCAAGCCCTTGTCCCCACCACGGCCCTGGGCACTACTCAGCAACACGTCTCACACTGACCCACTCCACTGGGGACTGGACTGTGTCTCCTGTCTGTGTGTAACAGCTCAAGACTCATAGTGATGGCAGATGGGCCGTCAGGGAACTGGCCAGAGTCAGGCAAAGTCACAAGAGTAGGGCCCTCACAATGTGCTGGAAGGAAGACAAAGACACATCAAAGCTTGCCCTGTGAGTGCGTGGCACTGGCTGGCCCGCATGTTGGCCTTCCTGTCTCTGGAACAACGAAAGGGCTGAATCCGTGGTCCAACTGCCACCTTGTTACACGTTTCTCCCAACACTGACTAGAGCACTCACCTACACGTGAGTCACCTGTGCTGGAGGGGTGGGTGTGTGGGGCCCACAGGGCACCAGGGAATGGACAGCCTCTAGGAGAACATCCATGTCCTTGCCGGCCTCCTCCTTTGAGCTCAAGGCCAACTACAAAGGAGATGTGATGGAAGCACCAAACACAGAGCCGAGATCCAGGGCCTGTGCTGCCTGTGGCAGCAGTTACTTCCTCAGGTCACAGCCCAAGGGAGCCACTTCCCCAGTGTCTGCTCCCGAAGCCAGCCTGTAACCGTGCAGACCTGAGGGGCACAGACCCTCACTCCTGGCATCTAGGCCAAAGCCTTATGGAAAACAAGGCTTTCAAGCTGGTGGCAAACACAGACCTTTGTCTTGGCTGAGGAAACACCTGAATCGCTCCTCTGACTGGCACGTGAGCAACTGCAGCCAGGTGATGGGGCATCCTTGGCACATGCCCCACACCAGCATTTCCAGACCCCGGAGGCAGCCATCATTGCCTTGAGTCACAGATCTGAGGTATCTCCCGCTTGGACTCAGCCCTGTGAGCCCAGGTACACTTCACCATGACAGACAGCCAACACTGTGTCTGAGCCAACGATGAGAGCAAGAACAGTGAGAGCACAGGGTGCCAGCAAGCCTGCCTCCTCTCAGAGATGAAGATCAAGTCTCATCCTGAAAACACCATCAGGTCCAGGAATGTGTCAGTCACCCATAGGCTGCAAACACAGCACTCTTCACAAAGTTTGTGGGAGATGAACATTCTGAAAATCCTACGCATGGATTTCAAGACAAGGTTAAGTTCCACCGAGTTCCATTTCCTCCAAGTCTTTCTCAAGTGTGACAGCACAAAGCCCAGGTGTGTGGACGGCTGAACCGGCCAGGCGAGCCCTGTGCACCTCGTTGCTCCTGCGCTGCCCTCAGCCAGTTTCCACAGATGACGCTACACACTCAGCACATGAGGAAGCGAGGACAGGGCTACCGACAGCCCCTGGCTGGGTACAGAGGAACAAACTCACCTAAGGCAACAGACGTCGGCCGAGACTCACCACTCACAGATCAGTGTGTCTCATGAAAGCAAAACTAAAAAATGGAGAAAGCTTGTCTCCTGCCAGCATGGGCACGAGGACAGTGACAGTCAAGGCCCAAGAGCATCAGCGAGATCCACTGTGAAAGCCACCACCGTGACACCTGGAGAGCCTTACATAGCCAGGCTGACAGCAGACTGGAGCAAAGCGAGCAGCCTGAGAACTGTCCACCCGGCCCAGCGCCAACTGGGACGGAACAAAGCGAACAGCCTGAGAACCGTCCACCAGCTTCAGCCCCCTGCTCAACACTCAATAGGCTGGAGTGTCCCCAGCTAGTAGGTTTCTGGAACAGATACACAATTTACCAAAACTCTGTCTTCTCCCAAACGATGAGTGATATTTGAGCACTGTGGTACATAATTAATACATGCAGATGAATTCTATAAGCAGTGGTGACAAAATCCAGGAAAGAGGGAGATGCCTTTAAAAAATAAAGATTGGGGCAGGTGTGACAGCTCAATTGGCTAGCCCTCTGCCTGCAAGTGCTGGGCTGCCCCCAGGAGCCAGTTTTTGGCTGTCTTAGCTACTACACTTGCAGTTCAGCTTGCGACCTGGGAAAGCAGTGGAGAATGGGCAATGCTTTGCAGAGAACTGGAAGAATCCCCTCGTGTTGGAGTCGCTCAGATCCAGCTGTTGTGACCATTTGGGAAGTAAACCAGCAAATGGAAGATCTTTCTCTCTGTGTCTCTCCTTTTCTCTGTAGATCTGCCATTCCAGTAAAAATAAATTTGAAAACTAGATCATTCATTATAAAGCTTATTCATTATAAATTTAGTACATCAGAATTCAACGGCAGAATGAGACAAAGTTTTAGCAGCCTCAGGAGAGTTGTAGCCCGCTCAGTGGCTGGCCCCACAAGTTCTCATGCTTCAGGTGGCAGTGCTACAGGTCACTGAGACCCTCTCACGTGTCACAGTCCTAACACACTAGGTCACTTACTTCTGATTCTACATAACTAACCTAGATTATGACTGGAGAGTGGTGGTTTTAAACAGAAATACAAATAGTTCACAGAGGTTTCAAAGTTGATGGCTCTGAGAGTGGATTAGGGAAAGAAGCAGAAACAAGAAGATTAAAAAGACCCAGTAACCTGAGACAACACAAGCTGAGCAAGCTGCAAAAGCCCAGGCAGCGCAGCAGTGGGCAAGGCGCTGCAGGGGGCAAGGCGCAGCAGTGGGCAAGGCACAGCAGTGGGCAAGGCGCAGCAGTGGGCAAGGCGCAGCAGTGGGCAAGGCGCTGCAGTGGGCAAGGCGCTACAGGGGGCAAGGCACAGCAGTGGGCAAGGCGCTGCAGTGGGCAAGGTGCTGCAGGGGGCAAGGCACAGCAGTGGGCAAGGCGCTGCAGTGGGCAAGGTGCTGCAGGGGGCAAGGCACAGCAGTGGGCAAGGCGCTGCAGTGGGCAAGGCGCTGCAGTGGGCAAGGCACAGCAGTGGGCAAGGCACAGCAGTGGGCAAGGCGCTGCAGTGGGCCAGGCGCAGCAGTGGGCCAGGCGCAGTAGTGGGCAAGGCACAGCAGTGGGCAAGGTGCAGCAGTGGGCAAGGTGCAGTAGCGGGCAAGACGCTGCAGGGGGCAAGGCACAGCAGTGGGCAAGGCGCAGCAGTGGGCAAGGCGCTGCAGTGGGCAAGGCGCAGCAGTGGGCAAGGCGCAGTAGTGGGCAAGGCACAGCAGTGGGCAAGGCACAGCAGTGGGCAAGGTGCAGTAGCGGGCAAGACGCTGCAGGGGGCAAGGCACAGCAGTGGGCAAGGTGCAGCAGTGGGCAAGGTGCAGCAGTGGGCAAGGCGCAGCAGTGGGCAAGGCGCAGCAGTGCGCAAGGCGCAGCAGTGGGCAAGGTGCAGCAGTGGGCAAGGCACAGCAGTGGGCAAGGCACAGCAGTGCATAAGGTGCAGCTCTGGCCAGGAATCTCCGCACTTTAGCTCCTTAGGAAACTCTCCCCGAAAAGGGGCAGATAGCAACGCAGATGCCAGGAAGGTCTCCAGCCCATCTCCAGCTTCAGCAAATCTTACGATTGTAACACACAAACAAAACCTCACATTGTTCAGAGGCATCCTCTGCAACTGCAATTTGTTAATTCATAATTAAAAACAATAATTTGAGAAGTAACCTCTCAGAGTTGAGATAGCCAAGTTTTAAAGACACTATTTTAATACAAACTGAGTTAATCTTATGTGATGCTAGGGAGACAGCCCTGCTTGATATCCTGCTGCCAGTTAAGATCCAACATGGAGTCACAGTGAGACAGGTGTCAGTGCTAACACTAAAAGGAATCTCACAGCAGCTACTCAGAAAGCCAGCATCAGGAAAGGGCTCCAAACAGCACACACCCAGCGAGGCACCGGTCACGGGACAGGCCCCCAGAACACCCACCTCCAATCCCAGAGATGGGACGAAGCAGCCTTGGGTTTGGGTACCACTCAGCTGACAGACCCTCCACTGCCACTCCTAGGCAGAGGGGGGACCTTGCTCCCCAGCAGTACCCTCCCCCACCTACCAAATTCACACTCGACAAATGTCAGGTGCACACACAACACGGCCTGGTCCTTCCTCGAACACTTCTGGTAACTCAGGTGCAGAGGGACACGGCAGCCCAACTCTGGGCTTGCCAAGACATTCACCTTGTTGCCCTAGGGAGTGGAAGACCAACACCCTGTTTCCCTGAAAATCTGGGTTGCAAGCACCCACTCCTCACACAAACATCTCTGCCTGGCGAGACTCACCTACATGCACAGAAATGAACACCAAGGCTGCAGCTGCAGAGACCACAACTGAACCACACACGGTCCCCCTGTCCACACAGAGCAGCACACGCTGCTCACAGGACAACTTTCCTACAAACAGAAATGGGACGGGCCCAACACATGACACAGCCTGAGATGCCAGCAATCCTAGGAGCACTAGTTCAAGTCCCTCCTGTTCTGCTTCCGATCCAGCCCCTGCTGAGGTCCTGGAAGGCAGAGAAGGCAGCCTGAGGACTTGGGACCCAGGAAATCACGGAGGAGAGTGGATGTAGTTCCCAGCTTTGCCTCTCATCTGGGGATCTAATCAGCAGATGGAAGATCTCTCTCCCCCTTCATTTCTGTCACTCTGCTTCTCAAATAAATAAATCCATCTGATGATTCACTCCCCAAGTGGCCATTGTGGCTGGAGCTGAATCAATCCGAAGCCAGGATCCAGGAACTTCTTCCAGGTATCCCACATGGGTGCAGGGTCCCAAGGCTTTGGGCTCCGACCGCCACTGTGCCAGGGACGTGTGGGGCACTACTCCCTGCCAGGAGCTGGACTGAGGCCAGGAGGGCAGGCACTGGCAAGACAGCTTGGGCTTCAGTTCCATTCATGAGGCTCCCTTCACACAAACAGCGGCCCCCGCGGGGAGCAACCCTGTGCTGCCCAGTGGGCTGGCGCTCTGCCCCTCATGGCAGGCACCGGACGTCTCTGGCCTGCTGGGCAGGCGACCTTTTGCCTCAGCCAGCAGAGTCCCTGCTGGGCAGGCACACAGGAGTCATGG